ATATTACATATTATTGCAATCAAACCTGCTCATCCCAGTTTTATTTCTTACAATTATAATACATTCAGACTTATTTGTGGAAACTTTGCTTTGTAGACATAATAGTTTTATTCACAAGAGAAAATGAAGGGATTAAAACATCAGCTTCACTTTTTTTATAATCCTTGAGATTCGTCTTTGATTGTTAGAAATATTTCTCCACATGGAGAAATACAGAGTATTGGTAAATCTCGAATACAATATGAAATGATAAAAATACTCTTAGTGATATGTTGAACATTACCACTATCACTAGTTAAAATAGAGGATTTGTTTGTGTTTAGAGAGGACTATGCATGAGAAAAAAAATGTACCTGAAACGTAGTTTCTTCAACATGATAAATTGTTTTTGTTTGGTTCCTTGTGTAAAATTAGGTCCTGTGTCTTATTCCTGTTTTTACAAAAAAACATTCATTTCATTTGACAGAAAGGCTATATTAAGCTCTACCCTGCTCCAAGTAACCACATGTAGGCTGCTGTGATTTAAGTTAAATCTACATGTATCTTGCACCTGCTGGCTTCCAGAAAACACACTGTTTTCCACTGTCCCATAAATTGCATGCTGAGCATTAAAATGCGAAGCTGATCAACACCTTATAAATGTTGAAAAGATACAATTGTAGATATATTTTCTTTGCAGCTTGGAGATTAATTAGTAGAAAGCAATCTTATGAGTTAAAACTCCAATCACTGATCACATTTTTAAACATTTTTACATGACATTGATTCATTTTGGAAAGAAATTTTCTGTTTAAGATGGGATTTTGATCTTCAAAAGATACCCAGAAGAAATGTCATTTTCCATCAGGGACAGAAAAGGGAAATGTTCTTTGTGCCGTGTTTTTGCTGTTGCTCATGATCTCTTGACGCTGTAATTTTTTTTAATAAAAGAAAAAAAAAACATAATGCCTATCATCATCTCTCAGAAGAAAAAAAGTCTCCGGAACTTTCTGTTCTGGGTCAAATGACACGAGTGTAGAGGAGACTGAATAAAACCCATCGCAGTATTTGAAGAGTAAAACTGAATTTAGTGGAGTTCAATGAGGACAGCTGCTTCACCTACAAGCTTCAAGGGCCATTTGTCATCCTGCATGGCCCGCAGCTGTCCTCAGCTCTCAAAGATGGAGATGTCATGTTGCAATCGCCACATCATCCGAGCGATTTTGCTCTGTTCCTTCCTGCGTGCTTGCTTCCTTTTCTTGTCAGAAGGAAGAGCATTATTGGAAACACAGTGCTTAGCAAACTGATAGGACAGAAAATACCTGATGCCGTTATAAAAGGAGCAACGCTGACTCTGCTGAAATGACACAAAAGGTTCATAGTTTAATCTTTGGATTCTCCGAGGACAATGGGAAGTGCTGCCGTCTTGCAGGTTGTACAGGAGGGCCTGTTAAGAGAAAGTGCTCTGCTTCTAGCTGCAGGCATGTCTTTCAGCTGACCATTTGTAGACATTCAATTTTAAAGCATGTCTTAACATTTACTTGGGCTGCTGTCATGTCAATCACGCAGTTGTTTTATAAGAGTGCACTTGGAAAAAAACAACAAAAAAATCCTGCAACTGCAACAGATCGATGAAACAAATATTTCGTTTTGCAGTGTCTTTGCAAAAGCCTTTAAACATTTACGCATTTGATGATGTTACAAATACAAAATTCGATTTTCTCTTTTTCCAATTGCTCCATTATATTTAGGTGTGAACTTTTACTGGGCCACTCTGAAGCATCGTTTTAAGCTTGGATGTAGACCACCCCATTGTATCTCTGGCTGTGTGTGTTTAGGGTTCTCATCCTGTTGAAACACACACATCAACAAAGCATGATGCCACTGCCACCATGTTCCAGGGTGGGTCTGGTCTGATATGATAGATTTACTGTCACTTTTTTGTCCTACATGTCTTTCATGCAGTATGTATCCCAAAAAGTTTTAAACTAAAATGATCACACCATCTTTTTGCTCAGCCTTTCTCTCACCCACTCCCACATTTCTAGTGACCATTGTCTTGGGAGGTTTGCAGTTGCATATAAGAGTAAATGGGACTGAATATAGATGTAGAGCATTATTTGTGTAAAAATTTGGAAACCATGCAACATTATTATCACACTTCACGGATAAGTGTTATTTTGTGTTGGTCTACCATAAAAAATCCCAAAGACATATTGTACTTTGAAGTTTGTGACTATATATAAGATGGGGAGGCTTCACTAGTATGGATACATTTGCAATGAGCAAATGTAAGGGAGTAAAATCTTAATTGTTTTTGTCATTTAGGTGTCTAAAACATGAAATTTTATTTTAACAAAAAAAAAAAACAACAAAAAAAAAAACAAGTAAAGTAGCATGTATTTTAATTTAAAAACTAAAACATGCAGATTTTTCCTGCAGATTTTTCTGCATTTTCATGAAAGGAAAGTAAATAAATTATATTATTTGTCTATATTGTTTGCAAAATAGATAAAACTTGACCTAATGAAGTGGTGTGTCATTGTATAAATATCTTGGCCTAAAGTGCAAAATGTCCTCTATTTCTCTTCTGCTGTCACGATGCTCCCGACACGCTCTCTGTGCATTAGCATCTTCACCACTGTCATCTCAATTAGGTGTTAGCATCTTTTGCAGTGAGACTCCATTGGATTAGTCAAATATTTTATTGGAATGCGGAATATGAAGACTTGTCCTTCACAATTTTACAATGTCTCTTTATTTACATGTGGATAAATTATCCTTATATAGAAACTCTGAAGCTATTTTATTTAAGAAGAAATCTGTCTGTTATTTTTCTATTGGGAAAAGAAAACAGCACTCAACATACTTTAAAGATGGAGATGAAGGAATACTCCCTCCAGAGGATTTATGAACATTCTGTCCTTTAGGCAAGCACAAAAAGGACACTGAATGACATATCTCATCTTCTCTATACAGAATATAACCCCATGCACTCTGGTAGATAATCATCTGCTGCAAACTCATATTTTTCTCTTTCCATCAGCTTGTTAAGAAACACTGGGTAAGGTTGAAGGACTGAAAAAGCTCAGGGCTGTGTAAAAGAGATGCCTTAATGTATAGACTGATGTGCGTTGAGATGGTCTTAAGCTGTTGTTATTGTTATGATTAAACTAAAATGTTTGTCTGCGATACATTTGGTGTGATGCAAAAGCTTCAACAAATTTCCCTACAGGAGTAGTAAAATGAAATTTATTTAAGTACTGTCACACTAAAAAATGTAGGACACTGTATGAAAACTTCTCTGTCCAACATATCTAGATCTACCCCCATTCGTAACATGTTTAAGTTGTGGATTTTGTATGTGGTTAATAAGTCAACAAGTACAAAATATATTGCCTTTTGTGTTTGTGTGTCAGGATCCTAAGATACATGTGGTAGTAAGGGATTTGATAGATCGCTTAGAAATTTACCATGATACAAGATTTGTAGTTCAGTAACAAAAATTCTGTACCCAATCCTAAAACTGATAGGTAGCTAATGAAGACAGACAAGTACATGAGAGACATACTCATTCTTTCTCCTCAGTGTTAACACACAAGCTGCAGCAATCTGAACAAGCTAGTCCAGTGCTAAGAAGACCTGGGTTATCAAAATTGAAAGAATTGCTGTAGTTTGGAAGTAATGAAAGCATAACTTAACATTACTAAAATAATTGCCTTTTGATAAAAACCTAATTTGAGAAATCTAATTTCTCAAAGTTAAAATCACTGTCAAATATCACATTCAAATCCTTGATATGCAATTTCACAAAAGGCTTCAGAGTACCTTGATTCAACGTAAATGTTTTGCAAAGAGTCCTAGAACCAAAGAAAACAAACAAGCCATTGTTAAAGAGAAACCAAGTTGCTATGTTTTATTAAAAATAGATCCAAGAATGCACTGTTTCCCAAAAACATGGCCAAAGGGAAGCATGTTAGTAATACGGATGGGAGAACAGAGCCTCTGGGCATCCCATTTTATGCTATTTGAAATAAAAATATATCTGAACTTGTGTAAATACAGTTTTTACAATAATCATCCTTTATTTTCACTGTGAATCTCTAAGGAAGAGCTCATGATTGGAGCTACCTTATTGACATCAAAGCAAAGTGCTTTTTTGTCTTTGTTCATTTGAGAAAAAATTGAAGCTCAGTTAAGTCTAGATGAGGATATCTATGACTTTGCAAACATATTTAAAGCAATTTTCTAATTATTTGAATAGATTTGTTTCATAATATTTTAGATTATAGTTGTCATGTTTTCTCGACTTGTCATTGCACCAGAGATTGCTCAAATTTGACATTAATAACTAAATATACTGTGAAAAGAATACATGAAGAAAACATAAACTTCTTTTTCAATTAATAGTGTCCTCAAAATAGTACAGCTAATTACCAAGAAGTTGTGTAAGTACAAATTATAGTAAAAAAAATGTTTTAAACATGTATTTGAATAAAATGTACTTCATTTGTCTTTAGAAATCGCTTGTTTACACTAGTGATTTAGATGGGACAATGCTGATAGTAGTAGCACTGCTGCTCAACACTAATGTGGCATTGAGTAAACAATGGATACTAATGAGACAGGTTTTTCAAGGGTATGCTTTTGGAATTTCATAACTGTCATGAAAAATAAAATCATTTATGCTTGGTATTTGCAAAATCCAAGAAAATAGAAGAATGTGAGTTAATTGCATTTTTTTTTTTGCTCTCTTGCATGTTAATCTACAGGTTTGTGTGTGAAGTGTTTGAGCAGATCCTTCATCAGAATCATTCATATCTTGTGTTTGTGTCATTTCTATTTCCCAGTTTAAGCCCAGAACTGCCTCAGATTCTACATCCCGCACGCACATGCTGGCTTTACAATAACAACTCTCATCTCTGTATTGCTTGCAAATGTAAATGATATATTTTCATTCAAAGTCAAAAGCATGCAATCAACAACATTCACTAATTCACCCCTTTTTTTTTTCTCTCCAGATTTCACCTCTGTGGAAGAGCAGAATGTTATCTTAGCCCCATCCTCTCTGATACTGCAGCGCAGCCACAGTTCAGGGACCTTTAGAAGAGAATCCATCCTCCAAACAATAACCTCAATCTGCTCTCCAGCATTGGCTCTACTGGGAATAACGCTGCTTACACATACACACAGCCAGCCAGCCAGCCAGCCAGGAGAAGTGACAGTGTTGCTCTCCCGCCGCCCAAATCTGACAGCCATGATCCTGAGAGGCCCCCTGCTACGACTTAGATCAGGGATCAGCTCGCTGCTCGATGGCTAGACCTCAACACTCAAAGAGCTGGAGGCCTTTCTGATGAGGTAAGTCTCAGTCTCTCTCTGCTGCATTGGTTCTCCAACTTGAGTGCGAGCTGATTTTCTTTTTCCTGCACTTGTTTTCTGTATCCAAGTGACCGTCATGTCTCATTAAAACTGACGTGGTGCAGATTAAGCTTCTTCAAAACAGCCGTCAAAGTGACTTGATTATTAGAATAGAATATCACGAGTGCAAAACTGTAAAAGTATAGACCGTTTAGTATTAAGGATCTTAAGGTTTTTATTTGCAATATAATGCAGCACATTCCACTGTGGCTTGGTTTTCTCATCTCTGCGACAAACCATCAGACACGGTAACACAGTTCATTTCTGGGAGGCTGGATTCAATATTGAAACATTTATTAGGATACCTTGGCTCTCACCTTTGCTAATAAATTATTCATTAATGCTTAATGGTCTCCAGTTTTCTGCAGAAAATTGCACCATTGGGGTTCCTTGTTCAGTCAAGTTTAGAAGACGCACATTTAAATAGAAAAATCTCTTTCCCTCTTTTGTCTAAGCTCCATATGAGAAATAGTGGAGCATAACGGGTATGGGCAACCTGCTAACAATGCTGATTTAAACTCCGCCGTGTGGTTTTGCTGCATGACTCCATCCTATCATTAAGCATTTGTCCCTGCAGACCTAAATTAATTTTGCTTTTTTTCTCCATTCCAGAATCTCTCACTGCATTGTAGCACATGGATTTCAAGACTTCAAATGAAGAGGTTGGTAGGATTTAATCAGTCTGACAATTGACCGTAATTAAAGAAAGTGGCCAAGCATTTTCAAGCATTGGAACACAACACTAAGCCTCCCAGCATGTTTAAAAAGCTAGAGAGTAGGACTTGCAGGAGAACTTTTGCTTTTTTTCTCACGGTTTTGCCTCTTATTCGCTACGTTAGCCTCTTAGAAGATGGTGAGGATGGATGTACAGAAGCCTCATCTTTATATCTGCTATTAATATGCAGTAGTGGTTAAAAAAAGATGTGCATCTTCTTTCAGTTAGAGAAAGAAGATATTGTGTGTATATCTGAACACAATAAATAAAACATTTGTTACAATAAATGTTGTACCTATGTGCTGCTAATAACAAGCAATGGATGGTGAGGTTCTCTAAAGTAATTTCCAAGCAAGTTGAGGCCACTGAGAAGTATTGTAAATAAGTGAAAATACTGACGATAGTTTACCATTCTCTTAGAAATGGAAGCGGAGTGAATCAACCTATAGACATTATGTAAAATGAACTTTTTTGACCTTTCCATCATGTTATAATGTTATTCCCTCAACTCCTCCAGATTAGTGTGAGTAGCAATTAGCAAACGCCTGGTGGAACTGCGAGTCTGCTGAGCTTACTATACAAAGTTCTTCTCAGTCCAACAATCCTGAGAACTCAGGAGCTTCTTAAAGAGACAGAGGCCAAATTCAAGGCATCAAATTACAAAGTCAAATTTCTTCTTACTTATGTTTCATATATATTGAGCATATTTATAACAACTGAAGGTAACAGTTAATGGATTGTGCTATAAAATGGCACTATGTGCTTAAAAATTATATAATACCACCTTGTTCATGACAGTACATTTAGAAAAATATGTATAGCAGGATGACTTGGGACAGACGAGACCTTATCTTGACACGCAGCTGACCCCTAATTACAAAGCAAGTGTGATGTTAGGTTTAGTTATATGTGTATCTTTCCTCTAGCATACAAACCTCAATTAACTGAAGGAAGACTGGGAAGATGATTGTCCTAAAAATGTATTTTTTATTCTTGATACGTGAAACCCTAGCCTTAAAAAAAGGATGAACTTCTATCTTATTATGACTCTACATCCTATGTGATCACAAAAGGACAGCTTTACATGCATTAGCTCGTACCTCGCATTAGAATGCGCCTCCACATGAGTCTCAAGTGACCGTTTGCGATAAGCTCCGAGCTCCAGTTCCACATGCCGATAAAGTAATATCACATATGAGGATCTGACTCCCAGTTGGGGGGGGGGGGGCAATGCGCGGCTCTACAAATGTTTTATTAAAAAAAAAAAAAAAAAAAAAAAAAAAAAAATCGGGAATTGCTTTCAGAGCGAACCACATAACAGACTTTATTATAGACATAGACATTAATCTGACACATGTCAAATCTGTCTGCGTCATGTTAATAACTGTGTTTTGACAGAGGTTCTTGTAAGTCATGCTTGCTCTGATGGAGAAATGACTGATGTTGTGTTGGCAGCCTCTCTGTGTGTAAGCCCACCTCTGCTGACTAAAGAGAAAAATTAAAGCTTTTAAACTTCACATTCTTAATACTGGATCAGTAACTGTGTGAGAATATATATTAAAAAAAAAAGAAGAGCTAAGAAGAAGCCTTGACAGTTCTTTGCAGCTTTACTGCCTGCATTAGATGTGAGCAATGTTCAACAATGCTTTTCCTCCCGCTTTTTACGCTACACATTCCAATATAATATATCAAAGTACCCATTTGAAAGACCCACAGTTTGTCTTGGCTTTAAACATTCAGGGATTATGGAGGAGCAGTCAGGATATACAGGACGGATTCATAGCTTAGGTATGGGAATGCATCCACCGTCACTGCAATAAAAATGTCTGCAGCTATACATTCAGTATATTTTAAGTCTGCTTCGATGTCATTAGTCATTCCTTAACTATGCAGCGTCTTGCAGAAGTATTTAGAGCTCCTAAACTTTTCTGTATTTTGTCTTTCTACAATGCCAAACTTCAATGGGATTTATTCAGGATTTTATGTGATAGACCAACACAAACTGGTGAAACTGATAGAAAATGAAATCACTCCTAACATTGTATCTGTTTGTACAGTTCTGGTACCTCCTACTCCAATGCAAACAGCTGTTCTGTGAATGGCTTTAAAAGTTTTGACGAAAGCAATATTGTTAAAGGTGAGGAACTCTGCAGGCAGAGAACTTATACAATAATATGCCAAGTTACATAGAAACCCTACAGCATGTGGTGTGAAAACACATCACTGTGAACAAACCATCCGAGACTTGAACATTTACTCTTCTAGACTCTCTTTTCCTCCATTTCACTGAGGTGAGATATTTTGTAAAGGTCTGGGTCACCACTTCAATATCTAGATGTAAACAGCTGTTGTAGACATACCTGAAAAGACTTGGAGGTGTCACGTCATCAAAATGCAGTTTTCTAAGTATTCTCTTAGAAATAAACACTACATTTTTGGATTTTTATTTTAAAAAAGACAACCTCCTGAAACCAGTTATGTGCTATTTTGTGTTGATCTTAAATTACAATAAAATGCATTGACGTCTGGGATTGTAATACAAAAGAACATGGACAAGTTCAAAGGGGGTGCTTTCTTGTGCAAAACGCCATAGTTGTAGTAAAGCATGGAGAGCTCACTTACAAATTTAGCAATAATTTGTAATAATCAGCCCGGACTGCCAGCAAATGTTACCCGACCAATCTGATCTCAGTTAGCTTTCATCCGTCCTCAGTCCACTTGTTAAATTGGGCTGTAAACTACAACCATGGGGCTTATCTCAAATGAGGCCAGTGGTACTTCCTTCATCATGAAGCACACATCATTATAGAACAACAAAAAAAAATACTTCCGTACTACTCTGAATCAGCATGACTTCATGCTCATTCTCACTCTTGGGGCCTCATTTAACTAACTTCTGGGTTGATGGAAAACTACTGCTGTTTTTTTCCACTCTTTGATATTGAAATGCATTATCTCTAAACTGAACCAACACCTATGTAACTTTCTTTTCTTTTCTGCTGTTCGCGTAGGTGTAACCGATCTCGCAACACACTGTACTTGGAGAACTTTAGAAACTGTGTAATTTGAATGATTGATTAAATTTGTATGCAGAGTTCATTACCAGAAGAAACACACAGTTGCTCCACCTTCTTTTTATGTGCTGTTTACCCATCCTCTGTTCTACGGTCTGACACAAGTCCTGACACAAATTACCATTTCCTCTTTTCTTGTGTCACTTTTTTGTAACTTACAGAATCAACTCACAAATGTGTGAAGCACACATATGATTTTTGCAAACATGTGGAAATATTAAAATCACTTCTCATGTCATTATACATTTATAACAAGAAGCTACAAAATATATCAATCTTCTTTAAACTCATGTTCAGACCTGTCCTTCAGTTGGCTTTCATTTTTGTTTGAAGAGCAAATGAAGAAATGTTCAACATTAAAATATATCAAAATGTGATGAAAAGTACTTGAAATCATGCCCTTGAGAAATTGGGGAAAAAAAAAAAAAAAACAACCTCCAGCGAATGTCTGACACAAATCTTGACAGATACATGGTTATTCATAAACTATGCCAGTATTTTAGTTGATCACTCCTTGAGAAAGTTTTTGGGCACAAAGTTATCTTTTTTGATCTATTTAAGGGTGCAGTTTTTAATATGAATTTTTTTTTCTTTTTTTTTTTTTTTAGATTTAGCTGGTGACATGAAAGTAAAAAAAAAAAAAAAAAAACCTCTTAAGTGAAAACCTCTTAAATTAGGTGCCAGAACAACAAAGCATGGAAGATGGTCTGACACTAGTCAGAAAATGAGCAAAAATTAAGCCAAAGTCGAAATAAAATTTAAAAATGCCTCCAGAAAGCCTAATGAAATATTTTTCACCACCATTTGAACAAGTTTTAGGAAAATCTACCTCTTCTCAAGAAAAGCATGAAGAAATGAAAGCTCACTTACAAACTCAGCAAAGTGCTCTAGGCATTTGTCTTAGAAGTAAATTAGAAATAATGTAAGCAAAAGAAACTTACAGCAGTCTCTAATTTAATTTAGATTTTTAATAGTTTAGTCTTCAACCTGTTTCTACAAAGTGCTAATACCACCAATTTTACCTTCACATTTTGTACAACCTCAGACTTTAATGTTCCTTTTTTTAATTTTATGTCTTGTGTATATGACTTGAAGTGGAAGGAAATAATTTGTTTTTCATTATCTTTTCAAGTAAAAGCCCCCTTTACTTGAATATCCCTGAATAGACCTGATGAAACAATATCAGCAAGACCAAATAATAGTTGTGTCAAAGATAAAGAGTGTGATACATTTAAAACAGGGTTAGGTAAGCCAGGAGGCACAATGATAACTCTGAATCCGCTGCAGAGCTCTGAACAGTTATTAACATCCCCTTTAATGATTTTGCACTACATCGTGTTGGCCTGCAATATAAAATCCTAATAAAATAAAATACAGAGGTGAGGTTTGTAGTTGTGCTCTAACAAAAGGTGAAAAAGTTTGAAGGGTACAACTTTTGCAAGGTATTTTATTTACTTAATGAAGTTAAAAATAGGAAAAATAAATCAACTTTTAATTGCACCTTTCATATTTTCCTCCCGGTTAGTTCTTAACATTATGCTCCCTGTTTATAACAAGATGTCCTTGCTTCATTACTTATGTCATCAGTAAAATTTAATACACTCTATCTCGGAGCAAAGATGATGATGCAGATTGGACTGTTAGGAGGGGAGTGATGGTGCACCTTAAAATAGGATGGAAGATAAAGCTAATTATTTGCAGTATAAGAGGCAGTGCAGGTCAGACGACAGTCAAGTGAGATGCTGCCTGACCTCAATAATACACAGACACTACTGCCCTCATTTCGCTTCACTAACGATGCTTGCAGACACATATTACTTCAAATAATGTGAATTAATGCCTCACTCATTCAATTTCCAACACCACGGCTGCAGGTGGGAGTTGACGGGCTCAGTTTCTTGCGCATCTCATCGCAACTTAAAGACACAAACTGACTGTTTACCCGAGTTTAAACTTCCAGCAGCAATGAAGCTCCGTGTCTTATCTGCTCATATGCGTCATATGCTGGGTGACAAGGATGCTGACACTGGTGGCTTTCTTCTATTAGCAGTCTCATCAGGTGAAGGTGCTTCTCTTATTCAGACCTTTTTTTTTTTTTTTTTAAGTCAAGGACGGGACCGGCATCACAATTAGCCTTGAAGGAGGAAAGGAGATGCAGAATGCAAATTTATGCAGATTAGCGTGTTGTTAAGGGACCGTTGGAAATACACGCACAGTCCTCACTTTTGCTTGTTATGAGGAAGAAACAAACGTAGGGTTTAGTTTAATATTGTTTTTTTCTTTTGGTCTTTCCATGTCACAGCTTCCTGATTTGACCGCAGCCTTTCTCTCAGGCTAAATGAGATGATGCAATCTGAGAGCACCTTTGTCTATGAAATAATACAAAGCACACAGAAAGCAAATTATTTTCGGGAGTCTTAAAATACAGTTCAATATTTGAAGCCATAGATCCATTTTTATCTTTATTTCTAATAGAAATGGTTGCCTATTTGTTTTGATATTAATATTAACAATTAAAGCACTGGGGGGGAAAAAATGGAAAATAACAGACATCAGCCTGAACTAATTTCCATGTTCATCCTGCAATGAGGGTTCTCAATGATATTTCATTTCATGGCCAGTTAATTTTGTCACGGGGGAGGGAATGATGAATGATTTTATCTCTTTGACTGTTTGCAGACAAAGACTGGGATTTATTTGATGCAAGAAGGTAATGAGGAGCCATTTAATATTCGACTACACTTGGCCAAAGATATTCTGACCATTCAAGAACAAGATGTCATCTGCATTTCAGGAGAACCTTTTTATTCAAGCGTAAGTAACCCAGTCAAAGTCATGGTTCTGCCCGTGTTCACAACACATCTACATCAGTAGAATCATGCCCTATAAATGAAATATGTTCATTAAATAGTGATTCACCTGCTGATCTCGTTGTGTTGAATGTAGCATTTAGCTCTCACTTGTCACCACTTCCGACGGCTTTTCCTCTGCGTCTATAAATGCACTCTTCCTCATGAGAAACAAGTCTAGAGACCATGGCCTTTACCAAAATGGCATTCATGTAATAACATTTTCCCGGATAAAAGTCTTCACAGACAAATGGAGGCTCACGTCCTCCGAAACATTGTTACTAATCTACGAAAAGGTCAAAGACACAGAAGTCCAAACACATCTTTAGCGTGTCAAGTGAGGATGTTTTTAACCTTGCAGACGAGTTAAACTTTCCCCTGATAAAACTTTACTGCGTCGGAGACAGACAAGTGGACTGAGGGGCCTTATGTTTCATTTGTTCTGGCAGAATGTGTTGGCCTTCCTCCTGTTCCAACACATTCCCACCCTGTCGTGCCTGGGTCGCCATCTGGCACCGTTTTGATAAGGCTAAGGAGGGACATGCTTAAACAGCGTTAAGCTTATTTGCACCAATTGGTTCAAAAATGCATCGAGGAAGTTTTTAGCCTCTAAAAATTGATGTGAATTCACATTGCACAAGACTTCATAGCCTATTTCTGTTTGCAAATTTTATATTTTAGAAATGGTTATATTCTTGCAAATGTATGGTAAAGCTAAAATTACATTAAAATGTTTATGTATTCATGAAAAGCCATTTTTCCCATCAACTTGCTTTGGGCATAATTCTGGCTGCATATTGTATCACTTCTCATGCACAAATGGTTTGGAGTTAGGACTTTTCTTTAGTTGGTTTGCTTCCAGCTTTTACAAAATGTTCAGGTTTTGGAACATCATTCAAGAAGCCTTCCAAAACCAATTTTGACAACCATTTGAGATCATAACCTTAACCAATCACCAATTACAATTACACGTAAAAGCAAACTGAATTTCCAATTCAGGATCCAATAAGGCTCAGTCTGGAAACTGCTCAAACACCTATTTCAATATTTCAAGGCCTGTGTCAAAGCAGGTTCAGATGTAACTGTTTCTGAGAGGACAGCTACCAAGAATGCAAATTTTGCTTCGATACAAGCACTTACTCCATCGTGATATCTGCTGAGACCAGCAGATATCACAATGGATGAAGCAAAAACCCTCTGGAGAAAGATTTTATAGCCAAACTGCACAAACATTTTATTTGTTGTCCACAATGAAAACAAAAATGTTTGGAGGTGTCAAGGTGAGCCTTAAAACCCTTAAAAAAAAAAAAAAAAAAAAAAAAAAAAAAAAACCGGCCCCCTTGGTAAAGGGGGCATGGGGCACAAAATTTTTTTTTTTTTTTTTTTTTCTGGTTTT